TGTTTTACTTACGTACAGCAAACTACACAAAACTATTAAAAATAACGTAATCAACCTGTATTTTCCACAGGGTACGTATTTTGATTCATCATCGAACAGCTTATTGATTGCCAATTATGGTGCTAACATTGTTGTTCGTTGGGTATTGGGTGCTAGTAGTTGGACAATTATTGCTGGCAGTAGTAGTGAAGCAAGTGGTAGTACATCGATACTTCTATCCTTACCGGCAGATGTCACACTTGACTCGTTGGGTAATGTTTACGTTGCTGATAACAGCAATGAGCGTGTACAATTGTTCTTGTCCGGTACATCGAATGGCACAACTATTGCTGGTACCAAACTTACAGCGGGTAATACTGCTAATCTGCTTAATGGATCCTATTCAATAGTTGTTGACAGTCAATTTAATTTATATGTATCAGACCAATAGAATGGTCGAATACAACAATTTATTTTTTATTAATATTCATATAGAAGAGTAGGAACTTTGGGTATTTTTTTTCATCGAATTATCAGTTAAACTCGACAACGTTTAAAATAAAATTAGGAAAATAAAATAATCAGTTATTGAAAATGAAAGTTTGCATTAATTTAGATTCGATCATACACGATTCTATTTGGATAGCCTAATAATACTTCTGTACCATCGTCTACGGATCCCATATACTCTGCATCCTCATTTTTCTACAAGACAGTTGTTAGAGTGTTTCTTTTTAAGGTAATTTAAGTAATTTATACAGAAATAATCAACTTTTTACGTAGTTTTTCATTATCACAAATTGACATATTCTCTCCATGTTTTACGAAATAGATGATTCATTCACATATATGTTTGCTGTTCGTTTACCATATAAAATGTAATCATATTTGATGGATACACACGAATATCTACGTCAAATATCAATTAAATTAGGGGTGACACATTCACTTTTCTTTCAAAAAGAAAACTCAAATCGTAATTTCGTTTTCCTTCCTTCAAGACTTTACTTTATATAAAAATGAGCAAAATCTGAAGTGATCGATTGAGCAGTGTAGATCGTGGCTTACATGCAATGGTTCATAATTAAAACCTTACTTTCATGTGAGCAAATTACATTTCTCTCGGCTCTATGATCGTCTGTGGAATTCTTTACGAACAAATAGAGGAATAATAATCTTATTTTCTTCGTACGATTTATTATAAAGAAAAACAACCTTTAACTGAAATTCTATTTGTATAATTCTTCTCGAATGTGTATGAAGATACATATTATTATTCATACGGTATGGTTGGTTATTGAAAGTGTCTATCACTAGTGCATATTTTAATAGCATTTCTATTCGTTCCAGTGAATGAGCACACACTCGATGAGACCTTATTACTTACGATAATGATGACGAGTAATTACCATGCATTTACCATGAATAATGCGTAATATTGTAAGTGCACCGATAAAAAGGTGATGTAAAAAGAGAAAATATCATTCAAATCAAAGAGCAATAAACGATGTCTACTTGTCATACATCACCAGCATCTCACAATTGTTCTTCGAATGATAATCTTGAAACATTTAATCTATTTTGGCTTGATGCGTCGGTAAATAAAACTGCGGAAAATGTAGCTGCTCAATCGAAGCTTCGATCTATTATCAATTATCTTCGAACATTCGACGTTGATTCCGTCTGTGAACGACAAATTCGAGCATTATCATCGGATGATCGACTTGTCCTGATTGTTAGTGGAGGTTTGGGACGAGAACTTGTTCCACGTATTATTGATTTACCACAAGTATCATCGATTTATGTTTATTGTCGTGATAAGCAACGTAACAAAGAATGGGCTGATGGATTCGATAAAGTTCGATTAGTAACAACAGATATTGATAAACTCATTCATCATATTAAATCTGATCAAATACGTGAAATTGAAAGACATGAAGAACCATTGATCTTTTCAATCTCCAATCGATCAACTGGAGCTATTGATGGAGAATTTTTACATTCACAATTATTGATCGATGTTCTCATTCGAATGAAATCGTGTGAATCAGCGATCGATGAACTCTATTGTTTTCTTGCTCTTTATTACAGTGGAAATAACAGTGAAATGAATAATTTAAAAGAATTTCGAGAAACTTATCAACCAAACAAAGCAGCATTTTGGTATACAAAACAATCATGTATCTATCGACTATTAAATACAGCATTACGTGTAAAAAATTCTCGTATTCTTCTTGCTTTTCATTTCTTTATTCGTGATCTTCGACAACAACTTGCACAATATCAATGTTCATCACCAGTTCGAGTCTATCGAGGACAAATGATGTCCAAAGAAGAGCTGAAAATATTGAAAAATTCTGTTGGAAAATTAATCTCAATGAATTCATTTATCTCGACTTCAATGAATCGAAAAGTGACTACTAAGTTTATGAAACCTTCTCCTAATATGGAAAGAATCTTATTCGAGATTGATGCTCAACCTCAAATGACCGGAGGCAAACCTTTTGCTCTTATTCGTGATTTAAGTGACTTTAAAAATGAAGATGAAGTACTCTTTATGTTAGGATCAATCTTTCTAATGAATTCTATTCATCGTCAGGATGATGGTGTTTGGGTTATTCAAATGACTTTATGCTCAGATTATGATCATGATCTTAAGAATCTTTTTGAGCATATGAACAAAGAACTCTATGGAAAAGATGTAACGCTTCTTTCATTTGCAGATGTTTTACGACGAATGGGAAAATTTGATGATGCTGAAACATACTATCGATGGTATCTCCAAGAATTACCCAATGGTCATCCAAATATAGCCAAATGTTATCATGGTCTTGGTCATGTAGCGATGGATAAAGGAGATTATAAACTCAGTCTGGATTTATTTGATAAAGCACTTCATCTTTTTGAAAATGCACATGATCAAACGATGATTGCTGATACTTATCATAGTATTGGACTAACCTATATTCACAAAGGTGATCATATGGAAGCAATCGAATCCTATGACAAAGCATTGACCATTTATAAACAAGAATTCGGCGAAGATCATCAAAATATTGCTATATGTTTGGATGGAATGGGTGGTGTCTATGGAAAAATGGAGAAATATACTGATGCACTATATTTCAAAGATAAAGCTTTAGTCATTTGGCAGAAACATCTTCCACCTGATCATCCGGATTTAGGTCAATCACATACTTGTATTGGTAATACGAATATCTCTCTAGGTCAATATGATAATGCCATGGATAATTTCAACCAATCATTGGCTATCTATCAAAAATCTCTTCCTCCAGCACATCCTCGACCGGCAATGACATTGAAGAGCATGGGTATTGTTTATGAAAAGACAGGCAAGTTCCAAGAAGCATTGTCGTATTACAACAAAGCAAAGGCAATCTATCAGCACTTGATGTTGCCTGCAGATCATGCCGATGTTTTAGATATTGAAGCCAAAATTAAAAATATATCGAAATGATTAATTAAAACGCATTCTATAGAGACATTGCTTACACAGGAGATGGTCATTAGTATCCTTCTCATATGGGTGTGGGGTGTCTGTGTGGGTGTGTCGGTGTGCGTGTGGTGTGTGGGTGCGGGTGTGGGTGTGGGCATGGGAGTGGGTGTGGGTATGTATTCCAGTGAATAACACCCACACCCCACTCATACCCAAACCATACCCACACCCTCACCCACACCCACGCCCACACCCACACACCCACCCCACACCCACACC